GGCACAGCAAACTCTAGCAGTCAAGAAATATATCACCAAAACAGTCCAGCAAAAGCTGCAAGAGTACCCCTTTTTCCCTCCCATCTTTTCCTCAGTATAGGCCCCGTTTTCACTCTAGAAATAGTAACTCCTGACAGGTTTAGTAATAATTTCCTCAATTTATTTTACCAGTGATCCATCTGGGCTGCTAGGACAAGACACCTCACACAGGGTCATGTATGAATTGAAGACCGATGTTGCTCACAGTTCTGGAGACTAGGAAGTCCGAGACAGAGACAACAGGAAATTTAGTGTCTGGTGCAGACTCTTTCTCTCTGCTTCAAATATGGTGCCTTTTTCCTGGGTCCTCACATGACAGCAGGGGCAAACGAGCTCCCTCGGGCCTCTTGTTAAGGGCACTAATCCCATTCATAACTCATGGAACCCTGCTGACCACCTCCCAAAATGCCATCACACTGGGGATTACGTTTTCATAACTGAAGTTAGGGGGGACATAAACATTCAGACTATAGCATTCTGCCTTTAGTGCCCCCAAATTTTTTTGTTCTCACAGGCACATTCCATCCGAATAACCTCAAAACCCTTAACTAATTTCAGCATCAACACAGAAGTCTGAAGTCCAGAGTCTCATCTAAACATCATTCAAATCAGATCTGAGTGAGACTCAAGTTATGATTCGTCCTGAGGCAAACTGCCCTCTGGTTGTGAAATTAAACTTACGTGCTGTATTAAAACACAGTGGTGGGACAGGCATAGGATAAATTATACAGTTCACTTGCTCCATCACACTAGCCACACTTCAAGGACTCAATAGCCAGAGGTGGCTAGTGGCTACGGTATTGGGCTATATTATATTAGCATTTTCATCATCACGAAAAGTTCTATTGGGAAGCAATACTTTATAGATAGTTTGCAAAGAAGTGGAAGATTTTTAGACGGAAGTTATATTCTTTTGGATCTAACACTTTCAATTCTAGGACTCCATCACAATGTAAATACTTTTCAGGGCAAAGAAAGTGTATGTGTATTTAAAATGTGTTTGTATATATAAACTCTTGTAAATACGGACTTATATATTTACTGTCATAATGTGGAAAACCTTATAAACAAGATAAATGTAATGTTTCAAACAACATAATTCCATCATCCATACCTGAGGAAAATTGCTAAATAAGTATTTACTTCCATACTATAAAAGAGTATGCATCTATTAGAAGCAATAATCTAATCAGAAAACTACTTACAATATGTTGTTCCCTTTAAAGAAAAAATAGAGACAGGGTCTCACTATGTTACCCAGGATTGTTTTGAACTCCTGAGCTCAAGTGATACACCTACCTCGCTTCCCAAAGTGCTGGGATTACAGGTATGAGGCACCACTCCTGGCCTCAGTACGTTGTTCACTAGAAGTCTGTGGGGGTGAAATACGGGAGGGACAGCGGGGAGTGGGGAGTTGGGGAGGGGTAACATGGGGAGGAATGCCAGATATAGGTGATGGGGAGGAAGGCAGCAAACCACACTGTCACGTATGTACCTATGCAACAATCCTGCCTGTTCTTCACATGTACCCAAAACCTAAAATGCAATTTAAAAAAGCAAGAGTAAAATAATACCAATAGTATATACTTATTTATTTATTTGAACCATTTTATTAAGGTATGATTCACATGTAAAACGTTGAATATATTTAATGTATGCATCTCAGTGAATTTGGGGATAAATATGTACCCCTGAAACCATCATCATTATCAAGGCTATAAACATAACCATCATCTCCAAAGACTCTTTGCACCTCCTTTTTTTTTTGAGACGGAGTTTCACTTTTGTTACCCAGGCTGGAGTGCAATGGCGCCATCTTGGCTCACTGCAACCTCCGTTTCCTGGGTTCAGGCAATTCTCCTGCCTCAGCCTCCCGAGTAGCTGGGATTACAGGCACGTGCCACCATGCCCAGATAATTTTTTGTATTTTTAGTAGAGACGGGGTTTCACCATGTTGACCTGGATGGTCTCAATCTCTTGACCGCGTGATCCACCCATCTCAGCCTCCCAAAGTGCTGGGATTACAGGCGTGAGCCACCGCCCCCCGGCCCTTTGCACCTCCTTTATCGTTATTGGGGTGTGTGTGTGTGTGTGTGTGTATGTGGAGGCCATAAACAAAGGCTCTTTGCACCTCCTTTATGATTATTGGTGTGTGTGTGTGTGTGTGTGTGTGTATGTGTGTGGCAAGAATACAAGAGCTCGACCCTCTTAGTAAATTTTAAGTATACAACACAGTTTCTGGCTACAGGCCCTGCACTGCATGATCGATCTCTAGGAGCTGTTTGTCTTGTGCAACTGCAACTCTGCCTCCTCTGACCATCATCTCATTTTGTGCTCCCCTAGGACCTGGAAACTGCCATTCTACTCTTTGCTTCTATGACTTAACTATTTCATTCCACATATAAATGAGATGATACAGTATTCATCCTTTTGGGTATGGCTTATTTCACTTGGCCTAATGCCTTTAAATATTACATAGTTTCTATACTTCTGAAGACATATCAAAAAATGGAGAAAGAATTGTACTTAGTAGTCACATGTGCAGAGCGGAGTGTATTAGGCAAGCATGCAGGGTTGGAGGATAATGGAGGCTTTCATTTGTTTCTCTATTATCATTCAGGGTTATTTTTATCCATTGTGATATACATGCATAGTTTCCATAGACAAAGAGAAGTATGTCGAAGCAGGCTATTTACACAAGGCTCGCATGCGACACATCTGTGTTTAGCACACAGGTTGCAGCGATGGGAACTGATAAGTCAGTGCCTTTCTTCAACAAATTCTATCACAGCCCAAAGAAAGATGGTTCAGAGATGAAAACGATGATAAGGGCCGGGCGCGGTGGTGCATGCCTGTAATCCCAGCACTGTGGGAAGCCAAGGCGGGTGCATCACGAGGTCAAGAGATCGAGACCATCCTGGTCAACATAGTGAAACCCCATCTCTACTAAAAATACAAAATATTAGCTGGGCACGGTGGCGCGTGCCTGTAATCCCAGCTACTCGGGAGGCTGAGGCAGGAGAATTGCCTGAACCCAGGAGGCGGAGGTTGTGGTGAGCCAAGATCGCGCCATTGCACTCCAGCCAGGGTAGCAAGAGCGAAACTCCGTCTCAAAAAGAAAAGAAAAGAAAACGATGATAAAATAGAATAGAGCCAAAAGATACATTAAAATCGCCCTCCTCAATTCAGGCTTCTGGGGGTCGCTTGAGAAAAACCAATTTACACATGGGAAACTGCAGTTTCTGGTTACCAACCTGAACTAGGCCCTCAACACACGTGGTGACGCTTCCGTTTTTTCCTAGTCCCCTGTCTCCTGGCTTCTCTTCTTCATGTCTTTCAGCTCTATCACCCCTACACTCCCAGCAGCTGGCGTCACAGAGAAAGCTGAAGCCTTCTGACTAGCTCTCCCTGATTTTCTCCCTGCACTCACAGCTCCGCTGCCTGCTTCCAGGCTCATCCCTCTGCTCTACCCCTGCCTCCTGCTCTGCTGCGCCCTGGAGCATCTGGCTGCATCTCACCCAACCTTTCCTGGGGGCTGAGCAAGGCTCCAGCAGGGACTCTTTCCTCTAACAAGCCCTTTCTACCATCAACCTACTTTCTTACGTTTTGTCTCTCCTTCACCCGGTTTCTTGAAACTGCAGTCTAGGTTTGGGATCTCCTCTTTCCAGCCTCCAATGTACATTCCAACCTCCTGGTATTTGGCTTTGCTCATCAGCAGTGCCCCGAAACAGTTTGCACTAAAGTTTCTATAACCTCCTTTGTGCTCATTGCAGTGTTCCGGGAACTCTGCTCGGCAACTCCTGTCGGTCATGACGTCGCTCATGAAGTGCTTCTGCGATCACCTGCTAACCCACCTTTCTTTTTACAGCGACATCTACTCCTTCACAGGTCATTGCAAGCTTCTTTCCCTCAGCCTGACTTCAAATCCTGAGGGCTCCAATTTGGTCTTTCTCTGCTCATTCCTCACCATCCCACGAGGCATCATGATCAACTTTTGTGGCTTCAGTCAGCGCCACTCTGCAGAGGACACCAGTTTAGGTCTAACAGACATCTCAGCCCAGAGGATGCTGCCCACTCATCTGACTGCAGTTGAGAAATCTCTTCTTCAATGCTCCTCCACTGGCACCTGGACATCTACATTTTGCAGGGGGAGCTTGTCATACTGATTTCCTTTATCTAAATCTACTCATTCTGATGTTTTGCTTTGTTGAGTGGTTAGAACCATGACATACACATACACCTAAGCCAGAAACATCATTTCTTTGTCATTTTCGCCTCTTTCATTCTGGGAGAATCCATTCACGCATTAAGTGGAGCAGAGTCTAAGTGGTTTTAAATCTCTTGGAGCTCTCAACTTTTGTCCTTCCCCAAAGAGATGACAGAATTGACTGGGAAGGAGCACAGACTCTCGGGGTAGAGCTGCCTCAATCTTCACAGAGACTGATTGAACCATGGTCCAGTTTTCGCGTCCTCGTGTGCAAAGTATGGGTGATAATAGTGGTACCTACAACCTGGGGCCATTGTGAAGACTTGATGGGCTGATTTATGCAGAGCATAGAGGGATGTGTAGCATGCAGGAAGCCAGTCTTCCATAAGTACTGTTTATTACGGCCCTAAGGCCATGCTTTTTGCCAACAGACAACGTTGCTTGGTGCAAGAGCTTTTAGCATAGTCTCCCTGACTCACGCCTGACTCAAGGGTTCTTTGTAACCCTTCCCTGTAATTCAGCCAGGTTGAATATCCGAGGAACAAAACTGAAAATGTTCCTCTCCTATCAGAATGTGATTTTCCCGTTTTTGGACAAACCCTTCCATTATCTGAAGCGGAGGCTTCTTCCTTTGTGGAGTGAGCCTGATCACTGGACTAGGAAGGCAACCAGCTATCTACCTTTCTCAGAAAGCACCTGGGTTTGCTCTTCTAACAGGCACTTTTTCTAGATTCTTCTCACCACTGCACATGGACACACACAAATCACACTGACCCCTGGAACCCCAAAGACAAACAGCAGAAAGCGCCCCCAGGCAAAATGAGCTCAGAACCTTCCTGCTGCCTGGGCGCACAGGGCAGGCTCCGGGGCCTTCTCTAAAAGGAAACCGCCCCTGAAGCCAGAGGGACTGCCCAAAGTGGGGCTGGGGGTGTGGAGCCTACACTGATGCTCTCAGGCCGTTTCCACTCTTGCTGGTTCTGATGCTCCTTTCTTTTGCCGCAAGCAACCCTACTGGAAAACTGGGAAATGTCCAACAATGAAGTTAGGACAGTGGCCCATAAAACATCCGCTTCCAACCTGCGTCCTTAGTCTCTGTCTAAAGGCCCAAGATACAGTGAGCCTTTAACACGTTCTCTGTGTTCTTCCTATTTCTCTATTCCTTCTCCATGTCCGGTGGGGTTCTCTACCCTCTCTCCATCCAACGTGCCAATAACCCCTCTTTTCTCTTTCATTCTCGCCACGTTTCCCTCCTTTCTTCCACGTGCGCCCAACGGTACCGCCCAGAAAACGAACTAGATGCGTTGGACCGGGCACGCGCGCATTAGGAACGCCAGCTAGACGGAGCCCTGGGATCCTGGGGGTGGGGTGGGGGTCCCCGCAAACCTTGCCCGGCGAGCAGGGTTTTGCCCTCCGGCGCCTCTAGCGGCGCCTCCCGGAAGTCTGACTGCTGAGGCCTGAGTTGCAGGGACTGAATGGCAGACTGAGAGGAGGAACAGACCATGAGGGCAGCGCAGAGCTTCCTCTCCCTCTCCCAAGGCCGACTGCTCCTCGTGCTGGTTCTGACACTGCTCCATGACTCTCTAGCCGAAGATGTAATTTTTCATCCTGAATGGGAGTTTGACTCGTATGAAATCACCGTTCCCGAGAAGCTGAGCTTCCGAGGAGACGCGCAGGGTGTGGCCAGTCCCGTGTCCTACCTTCTGCAGTTGAAAGGCAAGAAGCGTGTCCTCCATTTGTGGCCCAAGAGGTTTCTGTTGCCCCGACATCTGCGCGTTTTCTCCTTTACGGAACGTGGGGAACTGCTGGAGGATCGCCCTTATCTACCCAAGGACTGCAACTACGTGGGCTCGGTGGAAGAGTCTCCGGACTCTAAAGCTACTATAAGCACATGCATGGGGGTTCTCCGAGGTATATTCAGCATCGATGCCGAGCATTACCAAATTGAGCCCCTCAAGACCTCTCCCAGTTTTGAACACGTCGTGTATCTCCTGAAGAAAGAGCAGCCTGGCAGTCAGGTCTGCGGTTTAAGCGATGATGAACTAGAATGGCAGATGGCCCCTGGTGAGAATCAGGCTAGGCTAAGGGACTTTCCCGGATCCTATAAGCACCCAAAGTATTTGGAATTGGTCCTGGTCTTTGATCAAAGTAGGTACAGGCTTGTGAACAACAATCTTTCTCAAGTCATACACGATGCCATTCTTTTGACTGCGATTATGGACACCTACTTTCAAGATGTTCGTATGAGGATACACTTAAAGGCTCTGGAAGTATGGACGGATTTTAACAAAATACGCGTTGGATATCCAGAGTTAGCTGAAGTTTTAGGCAGATTTTTGATATATAAAAAGAATGTGTTAAATGCTCGGCTCTCATCAGATTGGGCACATTTATATCTTCAAAGAAGATTTAATGATGCTCTTGCGTGGTCCTTTGGAAAAGTCTGTTCTCTAGACCTTGCTGGGTCAGTGAGTACTTTGCTAGATACAAATATCCTTGCCCCCGCCACCTGGTCTGCTCACGAGCTGGGTCATGCCGTGGGGATGTTACACGATGGGCAGTACTGCCAGTGCAGGGGCCGGCTTGATTGCATCATGGGCTCGGGGCGCGCTGGGTTTAGCAATTGCAGTTACATCGCTTTTTTTAAACACGTCTCTTCAGGAGCAACGTGTCTAAATAACATCCCAGGACTTCGTTATGTGGCTAAGAGATGTGGCAACAAAATCGTAGAAGGCAGTGAGGAATGTGACTGTGGTTCCCCAGAGGAGTGTCATAAAGATCGGTGTTGCCAATCGAGTTGTAAGTTGCAACCAGGTGCCAACTGCAGCACTGGACTTTGCTGTCACGATTGTCGCTTTCGTCCATCTGGATACGTGTGTAGGCAGGAGGAAAACGAATGTGACCTTGCAGAGTACTGTGATGGGAATTCAAGTCACTGCCCAAGTGACGTGTATAAGCAGGATGGAACCCCCTGCAAGTATGAAGGCCGTTGTTTCAGGAAGGGGTGCAGATCCAGATACATGCAGTGCCAAAGCATTTTTGGGCCTGATGCCAGGGAGGCTCCCAGCCAGTGCTATGATGCAGTTAACTTAATAGGTGATCAATTTGGTAACTGTGAGATTACAGGAATTCGACATTTTAAAAAGTGTGACAGTGAAAATTCAATATGTGGCAGGCTGCAGTGTATAAATGTCGAAACCATCCCTGATTTGCCAGAGCATACGACTATAATTTCTACTCATTTACAGGCAGAAAATCTCATGTGCTGGGGCACAGGCTATCATCTATCCATGAAACCCATGGGGATCCCTGACGTGGGTATGATAAATGATGGCACCTCCTGTGGGGGAGACCGGGTCTGTTTTAAGAAAAATTGTGTCAATAGCTCAGTCCTGAAGTTTGACTGTTTGCCTGAGAAATGCAACACCCGAGGCGTCTGCAACAACAGGAAAAACTGCCACTGCATGTATGGCTGGGCACCCCCGTTCTGTGAGGGGGTGGGCTATGGAGGGAGCGTGGACAGCGGGCCTCCAGGACTGCTAAGAGGGGTGATTCCCTTGTCAATTCGGATCGTGGCCATCATAATGTTTCGCCTCATTTTATTAATCCTTTCCATGGTTTTTGTGTTTTTCCGGCAAGAGATAGGAAACTATTTAAAACCCAACAAGGAAAAGCTGCCACCATCCGAAGCAAAAACTGGACAGGAAGAATCTAAAACAAAAACCAAACAGGGAGATTCTAAAGCAAAAACCATACAGGAAGAATCTGAAACAGCAAAAGCTGGACAGGAAGAATCAAAAGCAAAAGCTGGACGGGAAGAATCTGAAGCAAACGTTGAAAGTAAACCACCCAAAGCAAAGAGTGTCAAGAAACCAAAAAAGTAACCAGGCGACCCACACTCATTCAGTCACTCATTTAAGCAGTTCATCGTTTCAGGGAAGGCTTTTCATCCTTCTCCCAATATTTTTTTACTTCAGTTTTTCTCACAAGCTTTGATTAGCAAATAAATGACATTCTTGTTTTGGAAACCAACCAGTGCGTTCTGCTTCTCTAGGATTCACCTGCCCCCCAGTTTGTGATCAAGTTGCGAGTATGTTGAAAATCAGGCTCTCGTGGCTTTTCCACACGCTGAAGCTCTGAGAGCAGCGGGTTTCCTGGAATTACCGTGGTATTCAAAGTACAGCCTGTTTCTGAGAATCCGGGGAAGGAAGCAATTGTCTGCGTCTCCCTCTCCCGCCCCCAACTGGATCCACGTGAACACCCGCGCCTACACCCGTGCTGATCATTAAATGCTGACAACACATTTTGTGAATAGAAAATGTTTCTCTAGGCCAGGAGCAGTGGCGCAAGCCTGTAATCCCAGCACTTTGGGAGGCCGAGGCGGGTGGATCACTAGGTCAAGAGATCGAGACCATCCTGGTCAACATGGTGGAACCCTGTCTCTACTAAAAATACAAAAAATTAGCTGGGCATGGTGGCGCGTGCCTGTAATCCCAGCTACTCAGGAGGCTGAGGCAGGAGAATTGCCTGAACCCGGGAGGCGGAGGTTGCCGTGAGCCGAGATCACGCCATTGCACTCCAGCCTGGGTAACAAGAGCAAAACTCCGTCTCAAAAAAGAAAAGAAAAGAAAATGTTTCTGTAAGCATTTTCAGTATTTCAGGTGATCTCAGATGGGTTAAGGACACTGGTCTGTCCTCTCTCGCATTGCGCCACAGTGCAGTGATGACAACATGATACCAGGCCCTGGCGGTGCCCTGGGACAAGGCTGTTAACAAAATGTTGTGTTTGCAGGGTCTGCCTGCTGGGGCAGTTCTTCTGAGCGAGTGTGTGTGTGTGTGTGTGTGTGTGTGTGCGCGCGCGCGCTGAGGGCCACCTGGCCTCCACCTCTTCCTTCCCCTGTGCACAACACTTTGGGTGGGAGGAGGGACTGAGGGGTGCCTTGGCAGGAGTCAGTGTTCACTTCTTACATCCAGGCGGGGTTTGTCCCTCAGGTTTGTGTCAGCCGAAGGTTTTCGGTCTTGTTCCAGGCTGCGTCTTCCTGCCATTCTCTGGTCTTACCGCAGCGCTCTCTCCCTCCTCAGGTACCACGGCAGGCCCGCAGTACCCCGTCCCAGTCTCCTGTTCCTTAGTCACACTTCTAATTAAAGACGCACTTGGGGCAGTCTCATAGGGAAGGTGGGTCCCCAGCCTTTTTTCTCAGCATGTGTGCTGGGAGCATTCTAAGAACTTTATGTGTGTTAGTAACATTCATACTGCTGAAAACAGCTCCGTGAGATAGGTGTCATTGTTTTCTGACTTTACAAAAGAGAAACCGAGGCACCGTAAAGTTAAATGACCTGCTCAAAGTTCCACAGTTAATAAGTGATGACATTATTCGTGAAAGTTAGGAAATTCAATTGAGAGGATTTATCTAAAAATCATAAGGGTATTTCCACACTAGGATTTCTAAGAAATTGATTGTGATAATATGATACCGACCGCCGTAACCCCTTTTGTGATCAGCAGTGTTAGGAAGGTTTACATGTGCAAGTCGTCTCCAGTACTCTTTCCATTTTGCAAAACAAACTCCATACCCATTAAGCAACAATTCTCTATTCTTCCCTCCCTTAACCTCTCCCAACCAATATCCCACTTTCTGTACGAATTTGGCTAATCTAGGTACTTCATATAAATAGAATCTTATAGTCTTTGCCCTTTTGTGATTGGCTTATTTCATTTAGCACCATGTCTTCAGGGTTCATCTATGTTGTAGTATTTTGTGTTGGAACTGCCTTCGTTTGTAAGGCTGAATGATACTTAGATGTGTCTGTGCACCGCATCGTGTCTAACCGTTCTTCACTGAAGGGCACTTGGGCACAGCACACACGCACTCACAGAACTGCCCCTGCTTTCACCTTTTGCCTATTGTGAGGAATACTGCCATGAACATGGGTGGACATGGTATACATGTCTCTGCTTTCAGTTCTTTTGGATATATATCCAGAAGTGGAACTGCTAGATCATAGGGTAGTTCTATTTTTAATTTTTTAAGGAATTGCCATACTGTTTCCCATAACTGCTGCACCTTTTTATGCATTCCCACTAGCGGTGCAAAGATGTTCCAACTTCTCTACCTCCTCCCCAACGCTAGTATTTTCTGGTTTTTAGATAATAGCCATTTTAATGGGTGTAACATGGTGTCTCATTGTGGTTATGATTTCATTTCTCTAGTGATTAGTGACACTGTGCGTCCTTTCCTGCACTTATTGGCCATAAGATTGTCTTTTTTGGAGAAATGTGTATTCAAATCTTTTGCCCGTTGTTTGAGTTGTTTGGTATCTTTTTTGTTAAATTGTAGGAGCTCTTTAGATATTCTGGATATTAATCCTCTGCCTAGGTATATGATTTGGAGGTACTTTCTCCCATTCTGCGGGTTACTTTTTCATTTTGTTGATACTGGGCTATGATGCACAGAGTGCTTCAGTCATGAAGTCTTTGCCCACGCTTATGTCTTGAGTGTGTTGCTTGGGTTTCCTCCTAGGGTTTTTATGGTTTTAGGTCTCTTGTTTAAGTCTCTAATTCATCTTAATTTTTGTATAACATATAAGGAAGGGATCCAGTTTCAGCTTTCTGCATATAGCTAGCCAGTTTTACCAACATCATTTATTCAATAGGGAATTCTTTTACCATTGCTTGATTTTGTCAGGTTTGTCAAAGATCAGCTGGTTGTAGATGTGTGGTGTTATTTCTGAGGCCTCTGCTCTGCTCCATTGCTCTGCCTTGGTACCAGTACCACGCCGTTTTTGTTGCTGTAGCCTTGTAGTATAAAGTCAGGTAGCGTGATGCCTCCACTTTGTTCTTTTTGCTTAGGATTGTCTTGCTACATGGGCTCTTTTTTGGTTCCATAGGAAATTTAAAGTTTTTCCCAGTTCTGTGAAGAAAGTCAGTGGTGGCTTGAGGGGGATGGCATGGAATCTGTAAATTACTTTGTGCAGTGTGGCCATTTTCATTACGTCGATTCTTCCTACCCATGAGCATGGAGTGTTTTTCCATTCGTTTGTGTCCTCTCTGAGTTCCTTGAGCACTGGTTTACAGTTATCCTTGAAGAGGCCCTTCACGTCCTTTGTTTTTCTGTTTTGGCAGAAAACCACCATTGGCATTTTGATAGGCATTGAATGAAATCTGTAGATCACATTACTTTGGATAGTACTGATATCTTAGTAATGTTGTGTTTCCCAGGCTGTGAACATGGGTGTCTTTCTATTCACGTGTGTCTTAAATTCAGTAATGCTCTATAGTTTTCAGCATCTGAAACTCCCACTTGTGTAGTCAAGTTTATTCCTCTTTTGTTATTTTTGGTGCTACTATATGGAGTTGTTTCCTTAATACCTTTTTGAGATTATTGTACAGAAGCACAACTGACTTTCGTATATTGATTTTGTATCCTACAACTTTGCTGAATTTATTAGTTCTAACAGTCTGTGTGCTTGTGTGTGTGGAATCTCCAGAGTTTTCTACGTAAAAATTATGTCATCTTTGAAAAGAGGTCATCTTACCTCTGCCTTTCCAGTTTGAATGCTTTTATTTTTTCTTCTTGCCTAATTGCTCTCATTTGAACTGCCAATACTTTGATAAGTAGAAGGGGTGAAAGCCAGCTTGCTTGTCTTACTTCTGATCATAGACGAAAGGCTTTCAAGTTTTCACCGTTAAGTATAATACCAGCTGTGGGCTTTTCACATACAGCATTGACTGTGTTGAAGCCGTTTTCTTATTACTTTTTTGACTGTTGTAATCATAAACGCATGTTCAATTTTGCCCACTATTTTTTCTGTATCAATTGATATGATCAAAAGTTCTTTTTTGGCCGGGCGCGGTGGCTCACGCCTGTAATCCCAGCACTTTGGGAGGCCGAGGCGGGTGGATCACGAGGTCAAGAGATCGAGACCATCCTGGTCAACACGGTGAAACCCCGTCTCTACTAAAAATACAAAAAATTAGCTGGGCATGGTGGCGCGTGCCTGTAATCCCAGGTACTCGGGAGGCTGAGGCAGGAGAATTGCCTGAACCCAGGAGGCGGAGGTTGCGGTGAGCCGAGATGGCGCCATTGCACTCCAGCCTGGGTAACAAGAGCGAAACTCCGTCTCAAAAAAAAAAAAAAAAAAAAGTTCTTTTTTTCTATTTTCTTAATGCAGTGTATTATAGTCATTCATTCTCCTAAGTTGAATCATCATCTATGCATTGCAGGAACAAATTTCACGTGGTCAGGCTGTATGATTCGTTCACTGTTCTGTTGAATTCAGTATGTTCATTTTGTCGAGGATTTTTGCAGCCATGCTAAACAGAGATATTGTCCAGTAGATTTTATTTACGGTATTTTATTGTCTGTCCTTTGTATCAGGATAATACTGGCCTCATAAATTATTGTTTCCATCACTTCAGTTTTTTGGAGGTGTTAGGGAAGGATTGGTTTTAATTTTTCTTTAATTATTTGGTAGAATTCACCAGTGAAGAAATCTGATCCTGGACTTTTCTCTGATGAGAGGTTTTTAATTATGGATTCAGTCTACTTGCTAGTCATTCATGCATTCCGCTTTTCCACATATTCATAATTCAGTCTTGGAAGGTTGTGTGTTTCTAAGAATTTATCCATTTTATCTATGTTATTCAATTTGTTGGCAGACAATTGTTCATATTAATCTCTTAAAATTCCTTTGTTTTTGAGACGGAGTTTCGCTCTTGTTACCCAGGCTGGAGTGCAATGGCGCGATCTCAGCTCACCGCAACCTCCGCCTCCTGGGTTCAGGCAATTCTCCTGCCTCAGCCTCCCGAGTAGCTGGGATTACAGGCATGCGCCACCGTGCCCCGCTAATTCTTGTATTTTTAGTAGAGACGGGGTTTCACCATGTTGACCAGGATGGTCTCGATCTCTTGACCTTGTGATCCACCCGCCTCGGCCTCCCAAAGTGCTGTGATTATAGGCGTGAGCCACCGCGCCCGGCCAAAATCCTTTTTATTTCTGTAAAATTGTAATGTTCCCTCTTTCATTTCTGATTTTAGTTATCTGGTCTTCCCTTTCAGTCAGCTAGAAGGTTTGTGTATTTTGTTGATATTTTCCAAGAACCAATTCTTGGTTTCATTAATTTTCTCTATTGCTTTTCTGTTTTCTAATTCATTTGTCTCTCTAGTATTTCCTTCTACTAGCTTTGGGTTTAGTTTTTTTCTTCTTCTTCTACTAAATTAAGATGTTGTTTATTTGATATGCTTCTTTTACTTAATGTAAGGGTTTATAACTTACATTTTCCTCTGGCACTGCATTTGCTATA